CACTTTTTGAAGTGGAGAAGGGGTTGCAGGCCGGGGTATTGTGATATCTGTTCATTATATCTTCCTTTTTATTCTTGTCTTTATTTTTCTCTTCTCTTTTTCTTTTCCTTTTTCCTTTCTTTTTCTTTTCCCGTTCTTTCTCTTTCCCTCCCTCTCTCCTCTTTCTTTTCTCTTCTTACCCAGCCCGGTACGACGGCTTGGTCAGCCCGGTAAAAACCGTCGGGGGGGGGGGCAGTCTGCCCTGGCCCCTGCCACTGCTTATAAGATGAATGGGAATATGAATCATGCAGATCTAGAACCAAATCTAGGTGGTGGGGTCAACATTTCTCCCCCGGGAAAATTTTGATTTCTAGATGGCGGGAAATGACCTTTCTCGACTTTTGAGCTAGGTGTCTAATTACTTTGTTCTTCAAAATTCAAGGTTTTCCCCTCATAAAAACGGTAAGGTAAACTTTCTCAGCAGTCATACAAAAATCTCCAGACATTATATATTTTTCGCCAAAAAGTGGGGGGGCCCGGGCCCCCCCCCCCGCTTCCGCCGGCCATGGTAATGTTAAAATTAACATAAAATTACGAATAAATACATATATATATATGACCAGGAACTGGGCCCTCTAGAACTCCTGAAATTATAGTAAAAGGATTGGATAACCAACCCAATTAACGCCCAATTAAATAAGAAAAAATCCAATGCTATTGCGGACAACAGATTCCGTTTTATAAGAAGAAAGATGTGGAATGACAAACTTGATCAAATGCGCAGCCGCTGCCCCAGTCAATGAAAATAACATCAATATTTTAAAAGAATTAAATTTGTAATAACTTACAATTACAGCATGTAACATGTTTCATGTATCTGACGTTATTTTTTTAAATACCTATGACAATCATAGTTATTATAAATGAATATAATACTCTTAAGTAAGTGACATTACCCAATTCTTGGTTCTACAGTAATAGCTCTTGGCTCATCTAAATTATCAGAAATGAGTCTGGTACGTTTGTTTGGATCGTCCAGGCTTGCGACTTCAATGAAATTTGTTCCCGTGTCAGTCCAGTAAATGTTACGGTTGACCCAGTCAATAGAGATTCCATCAGGTACGTTAGCCCCAGTTATAATAACTTCTGGTACACCATTGCAATTGACATTAGTACGATAGATCTGATTCGTTGACACGTCTGACCAGTATACCTGCATCGTCTTGAAATCATAGTCTAAAGCCACGGCGTTTTGTTGATTTTCTGCGATCGTACGGTAATCCCCCGTAAGTGGGTCATATTCATTTACGGTGTTAACGTCTGCAAAAAGGATGAGTGGGTCTGCATCTGCAAAAGTAGAAAATTTTATTTAGTATAAACTATAATATATAGAGTGTAACTTAAACTTTTTTTTTTCCTACTTTTTATATCAAATATCATTTAAAAAAAACGACCTTTTCGTTGTGTCGGGTAATAGGCTGGTTGTAAGACTGGTGAAATGAACTTTCTGGTCTATGACGTTTTTTTATGTGGTCCTCATATCTACAACGTACTTTTATCGTCACCGTAAAAAAAAAATGAGGTAACGTCGCAAATACCTCATCACGGCGCAAAACCTTCCAACCTGAGTGAAGATCACCAGCAGCACTTTTTTAAATTGCATAAACATGAGTGGTTAAAATATGTGAAAAAAATATATATCGATATAATTTCGTGTAATATCATTTTATAGTATTTATAGATATCGAAGAATATTTGGAAAGAATTAAAGCTACAGTTTATGACTCTGCTCTACATGTGTTTGGTAAGAAGTCCAAAGATAATCCAGATTGGTTTAAAAAGAAATCTGAAAAGTTGCTACCAGTCATTGACAAGAAACGTACAGCTCTTCAATCATCTAAGTCTTGCTTGAAAAGAATCTTTCTATTTTTCGATTAGCGAAGACAGATGTCCATGGAATTGTGCAGTGCACCAAAAAAATTTGGAGATGCTATACCGGGCACATGGGAATGATGTATGAAGGAATCCGTAAAGGAACTAATACAGTTGAAAAACAGCACTGTGATAAAAATCAATCAGAAGAAGAATATAGAACGAAACTTATCAAGGTGTCTATATCACAGCAAGAACTCAGAGAATGAAGAGCAGTGTTTCAAACGTGGAGAGCTAGATTAGTAACTACAGCACAGGCAACTTGGACAATGCATTTGTTTGTTCAACTTGTCACAGAATCTGCTCCTCGCAATTGGAGTGTATAGTCATGAGAGAAGATGTATGTTGTCAATAATAACTAATTATTACTAAAGCAAAATTAAGAGAGATATTTTGAATTAAAGAAGAATAATAGAATTATAGTAGTAGAGTTTCCTCCTTGAAATCAATTAATGCACTTTGGCTTGTATAGTAGTTTTTAAATGCTTCTGTAACACTTTTTTCTTGTGGTGGTCTTCCAATACCTATTCCATAGTCATTTTAAGTGTAGGATGCCTGATTGTACCTTTAAATATGTGTTGAGAAACTTCGTTTACGCATCAAACATTGCAAAGCTATGATAACATTTTAAAGTGGTGATGATGTTGGACGCCATAAGTCAGTGGTAGTAATTACTGCCAATAATGAACCCGTTTTCAGCTGCGATGAGGAGCTCTAGAAACACTCGGCTGACTGACTGATTGTTTGATTGACTGATTGTTAGATTTATAATTAAATTGTTATGGGTGGCCGTTAGGGCAAATATACTCTACTGCCTATGCCCACTTCGGAGCTCTCAAGATTTTTTTTTTTTTTATTATTTATTTATTTTTTTTTTTTATTTTTTTTTTTTTGGAAATCATGGAAGGTTCTGATACTACGTCGAATTTTGATGATTAGTACCCAAACGTTAATACAATCTTATTAAATATAATAATAAGGTCATTATTATTACTGTACTCTATAGGCTTCGGATCTTTGTTTTTCTTGCTTCTTCCTGGAAACTTTTGTAATATAAAAAAAAATCAAATTAACAATTATATTTACTGTATTCTACCATTATTAGGCATCTAGATTAGACGTACACCTATACTATATAATCAATTGCTTTACATTGAAAATGCTTTGCGATGTTATGTTATTCACTATATTGAATAAACTTATAGAAAAAATATTGGAAATATACACGTAGCATTTCTTATTTAAAAAATGCTTTTAAATAAATACATTTAGTCCTACCAATTAATCAATGATGTTTGTGTTCCAATTTCAATGAAATAGGTTAATGGTCGAGGATTGCTATGGCTCTTTAATGCAACACAAGCTGAGAAAGCTCTGAACATTTAATTGTTAGTGATATATTTCGACCATAATTATTAGTTATTTTATAGATATTTGAGGTATAACATCACTGATTCTACCTACTCATTTTCCTGAAAATTATTTCTTAGAATTTGAGAGATTTAGCGGCGTAAAACATCTAGCATGTCATTTTCAAGCAACGGACGAAATACACGCTCAACAACGCGGCTAGGAAAGCCAAAGACGCCGAATTCACCACTGTTTCATACAATGCTTAAAATGGAAACAGAGCCGTAGATAGAGTTTGGCCAATTGTCTCATGGCGCCACTTTACCAAACAGCGTGCGCGTGTATAGCTTTATAACACTGATGCTGCATAAACTTTCATTATTCTGTTCATGAGGACAATTCAGTTATGGGAACAATAATTATGCTTTATAATGCTTTTATTCAGTCATATCTAATTTATGGCATTATGGTATGGGATAATACTTGTCAATCTCATTTAAAGCATTCGCCTTTAGGCTGAAGAAATCCATGTACAAAATGATTAAATTATAGTTAAAGACCACATACCTTTCAATGGGAAATTAGCTATTAAAAGCAACACAACCAAGCGACCAGTTGGCATGTCCATGTTGGAGAGCTTATTATCTTAGGTTGTTTCAAAAGGCACCGGGAAGGCCTATTAAATGACGATGAGGAAGTAAGTCTTTTAAATACGCTGGTGTGTCCATTGGGTGTTTACCCGGAATGAAGCAAAAACCCTTGTAAAAACAATTTGCTTGTATAAAAGTCATTATATGTAATATATGAATTAACTTGCCATTGGCTATATTTCCCTATACTATTGCTCTTCGTAGCTTTTCAGCCAATCACAGGCTAGATAATATTACAACTGAATATCCATAAATGGAAGAATACAGGACAAATAAAGACAGAATAATAGCTACACTTACCGCAACACCACTTTCAGATTTTTCGTAATACTGACTTAAATAAGTCTAATGATTTTTTAAAAACTAATTCTGTATGTTCTTTTTATTATTGGAACTCGGCCAGTTAATTCGGCCTCCATTTCACCTCGTTCTCATGTCAGTTGATTATTAGTGTTAATGTTGTATTTTATTCTCTCATTCATTAAATTTCTTTTTTATACGCTACGTTAAATCCGTTATAGGCCTATTTAGATTCACTTCACTGTTGGGAATCCTATCTCAATGGTTTTGATATGTTCACAGTTTTAAAGACATGCGGATATATGTCTCATTACCTCAACAAAAATACTTTCGAGAAAATTTATCAATAAGCCTACTAAAAAGTCACAGAACTGAAACAGCATTAAACAAATTATTGAACGATATATTATTTTCTTTATTCATAATAATTACTCTGTGGCTCTCATCCTTCTGGATTATCTGCTGCTTTTGATACCATTGATCATAAAGTTCTTCTCGAACGACTGTCAAATAATTTTGCTTTCTCCGGCAGAGTTTTTAAACGGTTCTCCTCATACATTTTTCGCTAGAACTCAAAACATGAATACGGTATTAATAATTCTTCTTTAACTCCGAAATTCTGAAATTGCGGTGTCCCACGAGGTTCTTTACTTCTTTTATTTTCGTTATATCTCTTCTGTAGCCATTATCATTCTTCACATGGAACCCAATTCCATGTGTATGTTGACGATATACAATTATTTCTTGCTTTCAATCCATCTAATCAGCTTTCTATTAAACTTCAAAACTGTTTTATATTTCACTTCAAATTTAGTTTATTACCGAATACATTCCTTTGCTTAAACTAAATACAGTTCAAATTAAATCTGCAACATCAGTCCGTAATCAAACTTTCCAACAGCATATTAGTTTCATCTGCAGATCATCTAACTACAATCTTCGAAATTTCAACTGAATCAGACAGTACCGTGACAGAAACTCAGCTGAAACTCTTGTTCATGCTTTTATTTCAACAAAACTCTATTATTGCAATTTTTTTCTTTTTCGGCCGCCATCTTCTCTTTACCGGCTTCAAAAAATACAAAATTCTGCAGCCCGCGTGTGTACGCTTATGTTTATTGATTGATTGATATAAAATTGCCAAGGTGCAATGATATTTTAGGGCCGGGTTGACTCGATTAAGTTTCGCCTACCATATCGATAGATGTGTGATCCATATTAATAAACTGTTGTCTCGGTACGTGTGTCTGTCCCAATGTTAGAAAGTTGGTCGGGAAGCCAACTTTAATGACCAAACTCCTTGAGTATTAATTCACACATCTTGGTGACATTATATGTGATGATTTAAAAGACAATGCTGATGTAATGCGTCAGTATGGACTTTTATGTGTCGGGGAAACTTCCTAAGTAGGCGGTTCAATTTCTGTTCTAAAAATTAAAAATAAGTGTGTATTATTTAATATTTTTTGCATAAATATGTATTGCTCAATTTTGTGGTCTGATTATAATTAAAAACTATGCAGTGAATTAAGAGACGCTTACTATATAATTTCAAAACAAAATTTAATGACAAGAAAGATCGACGTTTCAGGTCCATCATGGAACCATTCTCAAGATCAAGTAAATTGAAAAAAACAAAAAACAAAAATACCAAGCAGTGACAGGAAGTAAGTAATGAATTTACATATCAATAGGGCCTACTGTGCTGAGCCATTAGTGGAGCTAAGCAATCATGAGCCCTTCTATGCAGTGTCTGAAAGTATGCTATAACAACAATCTTAAGATGCTTCTAAAGAAGTTTTGCAGTTTTATTGATCTCTTTGTCACCACTGGTTTACCGTCGTTTGGTAAATATATTATGAGAAAGTCGGTTTTTAATTGTCTAAAAAGTATGCTTGTTAAGTGCACAATTGTTTTAAAACATTCTAGATTATGGTTAACAAGGTGTAAGGTGCTACATTATTAATAATGTATTTTTATAACTAGTTGGCCTTAATACAGCAAGTCCTCTAAAGTTCATTTCGGTATGATCCGTCTCAAAACACCCTAACCTTACGGTTTTTTATGTTTCCTTCTATCATTACATGCTTTCATTCTAATATCCTATTTCATACTAATTATTACACTACAATCATTCCATTTCGTATTTCGGTTATCATATATTTATCATTACATGCTTTCAATCTAATATCTAATACCTTATTTCATAATATATTTATTCAATTTATGTTATTTCATTACACTACGGTCATTCCATTTCGTATTTTAGTGAAAAGGGTGGCAAAGCCCTCCCCTGGGTTTAGACTTCTAAACAATGAAAATGCTGTTTCCCATTAAGAAAAATTTATTTTAATAAAATTTTAACTGTTTTTATTTATTGTTACCAAGGTCTTTTTGATAATTTTAAACTTTTTTAAAGTTTATGTTTATTTGGATCTCTAATTTTACTATGTGTCTTGTGTCTACTTTTGTGCAATAATTTTTGATTACTATATTTTTTATAGAATTGTATATGTTGTGTACATACAGTAATTTTAGCATTTGTCCTACCACTGGTTGTAGTTGATGTTTCTTTATACCAAAATATATTATATTATATATATATATATATAGATGTGTATAAGAGACAGGCATTCGCCTTTAGGCTGAAATGTATATATGTATATGTATATGTATATATGAATAACATGTGTATATATATATATATGGGTGTAGTATGCATGTTGTATGTATGTATATATACATGCATACATATATATACATACATACATATATACATACACCCATATACACATATATACATATAATTATATATATATATACGTGTATATATATGTATGTATATATATGTATATGTATGTGTATGTATATAGGCCTATATGTATATATGTATATATAGGCCTATATATATATGTGTGTGTATATATATATATATATATTATAATTGTTTTTAATGTAAACAAATAGAGCACATCATTAACTTTATAATGAGGGCTCATGACATTAATAGGACTATTATGTGTAAAGTTAAGCTGTTTTGAATTACAATTCTCTATAAACTGGCCTATAAAGCTCTGAGCAAGAGGACTTCAAAGTACTGAAGAAATTTAAGAAAAATCACAGCAGTCGTCAAAGAAATGCCTTAGTATTGCGATGAAACAAAACATGAACCGCTTCGTATCTTTTGAATTACTACAAGGTTATTTTCTTTATTTAGTACTAAAGATAGTCCGTACCATGGTGCTGTGCTCTAGAAAATTACTTTTGAAGATATATTTTAAAAACAATTGTAATGTTGACACGCACGTTATTGTTTGTTTCTTTAAAGCTGTTTAACTATTTTGTACATGATTAGAATATATATATTGTATAAATATACTTCATCAGTATGCGTTTTATTGATGAAGTATATAATTTACACAACGTCATTCAAATTATATGACGTTGTGTAAATATACTTCATAGAGGTTTTATATGTTCCTGTAGAGATAGGCCTAATCCCTATAAAATTTTAATAGTACGTTAAACAAAATACAGGTAAATACCTATATTTTTTTTATAGAATAAATATAGAAATTATATAGTTAGTTTTATTATAGAGAACTTGTCCTTCATTTGTTTGCAAAGAACCGAAATGTTCTCATTAGGTCTAACCAGCTGGCTTTGTAACCATTCTAATATTTTATAACTATACTGTTTGTTTATTCTGAAATCACATTCATAGCATACGAGTACTAATAAACGTATTATTATCTGATAGTTTTCATTTATCTAGTTTGGGACCTGAATTTTGTGTAGGTGAATAGGTTTGGAATCGAAGTATGGCGGTTTGAAAGTTGGTGAATTCATATACGTTTCTCGTAGAATGGCCTTCATAAAATTACTAAATTTTAGGGTTTAGAGTTGAAATATTGAACACAAACTTCACAAATAGTAAGATTAAAGGTAATACTTTATATTTATTATATAATAACATTTTGCTCAAGTTACATATTACCGTATACTGTCTATTTGGCAATTTTTCTCGAAACCGGATGATGCGAGTTTACAGTCCTTTTGTGGTTTTGGGTCACAAATTGTTAATATAGTACATTTAAGCATACGCTAAGTGTAAAGTTATAGCTTATAAAAAGTAGGTCTAATAGTTGATCTATCAAACTGGAGAGACGTCATCCAGGAAAAACGTGATACATTTCATAGTTTATTTACATTGCAAAAATCCTGAATAGGTCTTTGTAGTTTTACTGATAGAAAAAACAAGGGGAAACCCCCACGCTTCACCGTCTTAACTGTTTAAGGTGAAATTTATGTTTGTATGTCGCAAAGAAAGCCTTATATGGTGAACTTTTGAACAATTGAATCTATTCAATCAGAAAGATTATTAACTTACTTTTAGCCTATAGACTAAAAAGTATGGAAGAACACCGCTGGCCAAGATTATCATTTAGGGCTCTTTTTACGCTTAAAGAAAAACTGAGTTGGAAATGGCTTCAACATATTGAATCCATTTTAAATAAATTGGATCTACAAATGTTCTTTAACATTGACTATTGTACAAAATGGCTTAATGGCTTTAAAGAAAAAAATATTAAAAAAGATAACATAAGTTGGTATAACAATGCTTTATTAGTATGTGTATATGTATGTGTGTGTATGTATTAATCTACTATACTTATATTATTAGTATTAGTATTTATTTTTATCTCTATTACTATTTTTGTAACCCTTTTTTTATATATATTTCGTTCTACCGCAGTATTTTCTTACTATATTTTATCACAGTAATTAAGTTTTTACTGATTTTGTTATTGTTGCACATCTTTACGGTTGTGCCTCTGTTATAAAAGAGAAGCAATAAAGTTACTTACTTACTTTCTTACCCTAACACCACTACACTATTGCATAAACGTTTGCACAGACCTCCATTGGTTTACCATCCTGTTTACCCTAGCATTGTTCATATTAAGCATTAGGTACGGTACAGTCATGTGACTATGGGTATACAGTTGTATATGGATATATATATATATATGTACTGTGTGTGTATTTCATGTACGTTTGTATGGTGTTTGTATAATTGTTCAGGTGATTGTTTGGGCATCACTTTATTTTGCCTTACGTTATTTAGTTTAAGATTGCTTTTAAGTTTATGTGTTTGATCAATTTCTTTTTGACTGTTCCTTAATGTCCCTTTTGAAAATTTGAATTGTCTTTTTCTTTTAGCATGTCTTTTTTGTGAACTGTACTGTACATTATTGTTTTGGACGCACCTTCGATTAAGAAGTGTGCCACTGATTGAAAAGTGATAAATTATTAAATTATTACTTAGAAAAGTTAGTTGAAATCCAATAGTGCAATGGGCATGCAGGGAATTCCCCATTCAAGTAACTAATGTCAATGAGTGATCAGTATAATAACAATTTTTTTCAAGTATGTCCAATTAGAGTCAAATACTTCTTTTATTGCAGCATATAATTGCTATTATGGGCCAATATCCACACAACATACATACAAGAGAAATACAGTATTTATAATTAATACAAATACGAATTTAAAATAGCTACCGGGGTATTAGTTTAACTGCTGTAGCTGCAAAAATTTACAACAGGATGATACTAAATAGAACCAGACCTATCATAGATCCACTTCTTCGTTCTGGTCAAAATGGTTTTAGACAGTCTCGATCTACTTCGGCGCACATTCTGGCTTTGAGGAGGATCATCGAAGAGATATCAAACCATAAGAAGGAAGCGGTGCTAATATTCATTGATTTCAAAATGGCATTCGACTCCATCGATCGAAACCTAATGTTCAAGATTCTCGCTGCTTATGGCACCCCTCTTGAAATTGTTGAAGCAATAAAAACTATGTATGTTAACACAACTGCCGTTGTCATTATTCCAGAAGGCAATACTGACCCTTTTGACCTATCATAGATCCACTTCTTCGTTCTGGTCAAAATGGTTTTAGACAGTCTCGATCTACTTCGGCGCACATTCTTGCTTTGAGGAGGATCATCGAAGAGATATCAAACCATAAGAAGGAAGCGGTGCTAATATTCATTGATTTCAAAATGGCATTCGACTCCATCGATCGAAACCCAATGTTCAAGATTCTCGCTGCTTATGGCATCCCTCCTGAAATTGTTGAAGCAATAAAAACTATGTATGTTAACACAACTGCCGTTGTCATTATTCCAGAAGGCAATACTGACCCTTTTGTTATTAACATTGGAGTCATTCAAGGAGATCCATTAGCTCCTTTTATTTTCATTATATGCTTAGACTACGCATTGAGAAAAGCCCTTCGACCATCAGATGGACTGACTCTGAAGCGACGCCTAAGCAGAAGACATCCTGATGACGTCTTGCCAGAACTTGCCTATGCTGATGACATCGCCTTGTTAGAAAATACAGTCAAGAATTCTGAAGAATTGCTTTATCGGGTGGAGAAACAAACACAATCCATTGGCCTCTTTTTAAATGCCAAAAAGACAAAGTTTATTCACCTAAATTCCACATCAGAAGTGTCCATTAATTCACTAGACGGACAGGAAATCGAGAAAGTTGGCGAATTCCTGTATCTCGGCGGGTACACATTTACATCCTATGACATTGACACAAGAATTGGTAAAGCGAGGGGTGCATTACACTCATTGTCAAAAGTGTGGTCGGCACCAATCAGAAAAACAACAAAGTGAGACTCTTCAAATCAACTGTAGAGTCCATACTGCTGTATGGAGCCGACTCATTGACCTTAACGAAAGCTCTTACTAGAAAAATTGATGGAACATACACCCGAATGTTAAGGATTGTTCAAAACTTTTCCTGGCAGTCGCACACCTCCAACAAGTCTCTGTACGGTAAACATCCACGTTTATCCTCCATCATTCGACAACGTAGGCTTGCCCTTGCTGGTCACGTGATAAGAAACGATGAGGCAGCCGATAGGGTTTTACTTTGGAAGCCAGATGCCCTCAAGAAAGTTGGAAGGCCCACGACAACATTAAAGAACGTGCTGGAAACAGACACTGGTCTCGAAGGGCACGAACTGAAGACAGCAATAATGGATCGACTGAGCTGGAGAAAGAATTTTGTATATGTCACCGACTAATGTCGGATGCGGTTAAGTAAGTAAGTAATAATAGATAGTAATAGATGATAGTAATGAGTATTATTAAGATAATGATGGGGATGATAATAGTGATAATTTTGAGGCTAAAACGCTGATAATGGTTTTAAAGTGTGCTTTAGGTGATGAATTCTGTAATGATTCAACATTTGTGCAATTTTGTGAGTATTTTTTTATTTTTTATTTTTTTAAGTGTTTTGTTTTCTTTTATATTGTACTGTATAATTGGAGCAGATTGGTAATAGATAGTATGATACTAATGAGTATTATTAAGATAATGATGGGGATGATAATAGTGATAATTTTGAGGTTAAAACGCTGATGATAGTAAACTTTTAAAGGGTGCTTCAGGTGATGAGTTCATTTGTGCGATTTTGTGAGGTTTTTTTTTTTTTTTTTTTTTTTAATTTTTTTTTTTTTTATTGTTTTAAGTGTTTCCTTTTATATTGTACCGTATGTGGGAGCAGACTGGTTTCCCCATTAGGACAATTTCCCCCGGAATCCCCCCACCCTTTACATCATGCTTTAAATAAAACAAGCATTTAAATACACGGAATATATCAAGATTTATCATTCTTTTAAATATTAAATATTTATAAAGTTAAAAGCAGCAGAGTATCGAAATAATTTAAGAAGTGGATTACCGTAGTGAAAGAAAAAACTTACCATACCAAGCTATAATTTTTACATAATCTTTTTTTAAAAAACTAAAATAGTTATGTATTTCAACTTATTTAATAATGCTATCCATATAGAATAAACAAGGTTATTATATTTGTCTTTTATAGTTATTAAACTTTAATTATTATTATTATATTGTTATTATCAATAAACTAATCCATGCAGAGTAAACAAGGTTATTACATTGCACTTTATACAGTAGTTAATACATTTTTGTTATTCATATCATTATTATACAGAATATATAAGGTTATTACATTTGTCCTTTATAGTTATTAAATTTTTATTATTCTTATAATTGTTATTATTATCACTAAATTATTATCTATATAAAATAAACAAGTTTATTACATATGCTCTTTATAGTTATTAAATTTTTATCATTTTTATTATTGCTATTATTATCATTAAATTATTATGAATACAGAATAAACAAAGTTATTACATTTGCTCTTTATGTTATTAAATTGTTATTATCATCATCATCATCATCAACATTATTATTATTAATATTATTATTATTATTATTATTATTATTATTATTATTATTGTTTTCATTATCATCATTAAATTATAATATAACGCTATTGCAGACATGTATTATAATAATTATTCAAACATAAAAAACAATATGAATTACATGCATTAAGCTATTAAGCTAATAATATTACATATTTGTTTTTATAAGAACACATTTTATAAGAACACTGAGGCTGAGGCTGAAATTGCTTAAAAATTAAGAACAAAAAAATAAGAAAAATTGAGGCTATGGTAAAGTGTCAAATGAGGTTTTTATTCGAAAAAAAAAATAGGAAAAAAACAACAAATCGTACTTCCTTAAAATTAAGTAAAATAAAAAATTAAAATGTATTATGAAAAATATGAAAATAATTGAAATTATAAATAAGAAGATTTAAAAGAGGGGGAAATTGTCCTTGAGGGCAACAGTACAGTCCGGAGGGAAAATATCAAGGGAGGGGGATTTCCCGATGAAAAATCCCTGGGGTAAGTGTCCGGGGGAAAAATGTTCGGGAAGAAACCAGACTAGACCCATTGTATATGTATGTTAATTTTACGAACGCACTGCATGCAAGAGCACGTATCGAATGAAGGTTTTAACAATTTGTAAATAAAGAAAATAAAAATAATTATTATTACTATACAATTATAACTAAAGTTATTACTATTACTGTTACCACTACTATCACTATTACTATACTATTATCTTTGTTAGACACAGCACTTTTAGATATTTTAATCGTATATATATTTTATTTTCATGGTCATATTTTCTAATTGTATTTTAACTCTTATACTGTACCTTTCTTCTTTTACTGCTATTTATTATATTTATTTTTCTAAATGAAGTGTTTGTAATTATCTGGAGAGCTTTCTATTCTATTTTAATATGAGCTATTTTTAGCAATCCTCAGTCCAGTTTTATATGAATGATTTAATCGATTATAAATGAAAGAATTTATTTTCTTATTTAGGCATATGTTGTTATTTATGGCAGATGTCTAATTAGGATTATCTAATAATATTATATTTTTAAAATAATGATAATATTTAAGTATTTAGGTAAAAACATTTTAAATAGAGCAAAGTACCGTGATTATGCGTATGGTAAGTACAATGTACGATCTTTCATGAATTTAGCTGAGCTCTCAAACCGGAGTTATAGCATGTTGAAAATGTTTTCTTTGAGAAAATGTCACGTATTCTAACATATTTTATTAAAGACTACATATATTATATGTATTTTATACTTCAAAAAGCCTAAAATGGAGTGCTTTTATTTTAGAAAACCATAAGGGAAAGCCCCCAAAATTCACCGTCGTACTAATCTTCTTTGTACTCTGTGGGCTTAATATACTATAATATACACTTATAGACCCCCCACTGCTGTACCATTAGCAATGTTTTTTGTCAGCAAAACCTGTATTCAAAATGTTAAATAGTGAGAGAGTAACAAAACAAAATTAGTAGGTCTATATGAATCATTCATCTAGCTTGCCTTTGTGATTATTTGTAGTAATTGTTATTGTCGTGATGGAGTGGACAATAACTGGATTTGCGTCATGAGAATCAAGTATAGGGGTAATTTTGCAATACCTGACGTGGAAATGTACCAATTCGTGTGAAAAAAATTGCGAAAATATCACAAGATGTTCTCGGGTGGGACTCGAACCCACGATCTCCAGATCACTAGCCTGGCATCATACCTTTAGACCACCGATCTTGCGCCTGATGTCCAGGCGCAAGATCGGATTTATATGAGCTATTTTTAGCAATCCTCAGTCCAGTTTTATATGAATGATTTAATCGATTATAAATGAAAGAATTTATTTTCTTATTTAGGCATATGTTATTATTTATGGCAGATGTCTAATTAGGATTATCTAATAATATTATATTTTTAAAATAATGATAATATTTAAGTATTTAGGTAAAAACATTTTAAATAGTGCAAAGTACCGTGATTATGCGTATGGTAAGTACAATGTACGATCTTTCATGAATTTAGCTGAGCTCTCAAACCGGAGTTATGGCATGTTGAAAATGTTTTCTTTGAGAAAATGTCACGTATTCTAACATATTTTATTAAAGACTACATATATTATATGTATTTTATACTTCAAAACGCCTAAAATGGAGTGCTTTTATTTTAGAAAACCATAAGGGAAAGCCCCCAAAATTCACCGTCGTACTAATCTTCTTTGTACTCTGTGAGCTTAATATACTATAATATACACTTATAGACCCCCCACTGCTGTACCATTAGCAATGTTTTTTGTCAGCAAAATCTGTATTCAAAATGTTAAATAGTGAGAGAGTAACAAAACAAAATTAGTAGGTCTATATGAATCATTCATCTAGCTTGCGTTTGTGATTATTTGTAGTAATTGTTATTGTCGTGATGGAGTGGACAATAACTGGATTTGCGTCATGAGAATCAAGTATAGGGATAATTTTGCAATACCAGACGTGGAAATGTACCAATACGTGTGAAAAAAATTGCAAAAATATCACAAGATGTTCTCGGGTGGGACTCGAACCAACGATCTCCAGATCACTAGCCTGGCATCATACCTTTAGACCACCGATCTTGCGCCTGATGTCC